GTTGGCTAGTTGTTGGTTGGCTGGCTGGTTTGTTGGTTGGTTGGTTGGATGGCTGGCTGGTTTGTTGGTTGGCTAGTTGTTGGTTGGTTGGCTGGCTGGTTGGTTGGTTGGTTGGCTGGCTGGTTGGTTGGTTGGCTGGCATGTTGTGAGTCATCTATTTCTTTAATTCTTGCTGACTATTTGGTACCTTTAGTAGCTAAGAAAGGTACTATAGTATTTTAACCCTTGTTCTCCTTTGGTTATTTTAAGCAGTGAACGGTTTATCACTCAGTCAGATTCCCACTCCTTTTGGTAACAATTAAATGAACAGAGAACATGTCTTTGCTTGATGATTAATAACTCTGCTGATAGCCTAAACTAAACTGGTGAAGGCAACTTGATTTTAACAGCCGGTCCAGGAGTCTAAACTTATGTAAAAGACGAAGAACGCAGGTCAATAAAGAAATTACAATTATAATCATTCAACTAATTAACATTAATTGGTTTCACCCCTAATTTGAATGACCTATTAGTTATAACTCCCTTTGTAGTTGTTTAATGCAATCATTATCTAGTAAAGTTGCAATTATCAATCAACATGAAATAAAGCCGGCTGGTGAATNCTGTTCAAAGGGAGTTTTTCCTCTCCACTGTCGCTACAAGCATGCTTAGTGTGAGGGATTGCTGAAGAGTCAATGAGTCGATGCAATCAGCTGGTTTTGGTGAACTGGAAAGTTCCTTGAAATGATGTGTGATGTGAATTGGCGCTATAGAAATAAACTCAATAGAATTATATTTATACTCTAAACCTTTCTAACTACATCAAAAAGGGAGGTTTTTGAAGTGAAGGTTAAAAAATAGTTTTCGACTCTAACTCTTCATAAACAAATGTTTATTATAAGTTTTATTTTTTTTAGAGCCAGTGCATAGTTGGTGCTTTTTAACAGCGTTCTGTGATGTGGTGTAGGTCTCTCCAGTTATACTGGTTTTATGTCACATGTGACTCCCATAAAAGATCAAACTGGATCTAACAGCTACAGGGTTATAAAATCACTGCTTCCAATTTCAGTGTTTTACATCTCAAAATATCAAAAAGCATCTGGTTCTCAGTGGTCGAACAGTCAGATCACTGCTGCTGCTGGTTGTTGATTAACTGAGAAGATAAAGCAAAGATACAGACGCAGTTTGAGAAAAATGAGACTCACTCTTTCAGATATCAGAAGTGAGCAGAAGCTGCTACTGGACCAACAGTCTACATCCGGATCAGCACATGCTGGGCTGGCAGACCTGAGCAGTTTTATTTTATCAGAAGGTTGTTGCTCTTTAGGATCCAGCTGAGAAGATGCTAGCAATCACCGAGGAGAAACACATGCTGGAAAGATGCAGATCTGTTATAATCCACAGCAACATGATTTTCATGCATCCAGACACATCCGATTCATTAACATTTTCACATTTTCAAAAAATTCAAATGATACGTGAACGACAGGAGAATCTCCTAAATGAGTAGAAAAGGGAAGCAGAGCTGAAGCAAAGAGGGGAGAGAAGAAGAAAACAAGTCTTCTATCGAGTATTATGGACAATTTGAGATTTCTGGGCAACAAGTTGGATGAACCCTAAACCCTGAGAGGATTTATTCCACTGATACATGGCTGAGGATCATAGCTCTGACAGTTTTCTGACCAAACCAGCAGAATCTTGTCTCTGCAGCCCAGGTCTTTAATTGTTAGCAGTAATTATTTTGATACTATTTAAACAAAAGGTTTATGTGTTACTTTAGCTACCATAGACGTGTGTTCCACCATCAGCCATTGCAATGACTTCCTGCTCTGTGTGATGTCATCAGGTTAGTTCAGGCCAAGCTACAGACCAAAAATAACTGGTGATTTTAATCACGTCTCACTCTCTGCTACACTGCAAACAAAAGTTTGTCAGCTGCTGAACAAGTAAAAAAAAAAAGTGGACTTATTTTAAGCATATATCAATCATGCCTCTAAAGTAAGACCTTCTCTTTGGAAATCAGAATGTTGCCTTTCTCTGCTCAATGTACCAGCCCCTTCATTAGAGGAAACCTGCATTAAACAGAACTGCAAGGAGCCTTTAAGAAGGAATCAATGAGGAGAATACAGACGCAACTTAAAGGGTTGGAGTGGCAGCCTAGTGGTTAGGGCATAGAGCTTATAAACCTGGCTCTATGAGAAACACCCTTAACACCTGACTGCTACCCAGGTATCTTCACTGCTCTGATCCTGCTCCAGGTGTTTCCCCCGTGCTCACCTGGTGCCAGCAAGTCGGGCAGGGGCGGAGCTAGATGGGGGGCCAGGGGTGGCCATGACCACCCTTACCCAATCATTGGCCACCCCTTTGCCACCACTACCATTTTTTCCCTATAATACAGACAGTGACAGCGGTAATACTTTCAACTGGAATGTTTTAACTTATTTAACATTTAAATGTTATATATGTAAACTGTTACCTGACAACAAAAACCCTGTGGTTAATTATGCACATCAATATACTAAAATTTAAACAGAAATACAGAGTTTATGCTGTTTTCAGAACTAGATTTTGTCTTAATGTGGTAAAGAGGAAACTAGGAATCTCACTGAAATCAGAGATAAATAACTACTTCAATAATAACTAATTAATTTAGATATTAGTACATGTAAATATAAACTTTATGCTGAATGATTATTAATAAAAGTAGGTTAATAATGACAATGAATAAGATGTTTGTGTCAGAATTCAAAACTAAAAGAATTTTGTCACCTTTAATTCAGACAGCATGGATGTTCAAATATATGCCTCCATTTGTTAGCAAAGGCTGGAGGAAAGTAAAGTTTGTCTTTATTTAGAAAATATGGCTGTTGTGATGAATCATTTTCCTTTTGGAGCAGTATAGATTGCGCCTTGGCGGCTAACATCATTCATCCTGTCCGCTAAACTGCTGCTAGTTTTCCTCTCATGCCTGGAAGATGTCTAGAGCTGCTACCACAGATGATCTCGCTCTCCAGATGAACCATTCAAATTAGAAGGGGTAGAGCGTAGCCGCCTGTCACTACTACAGTCCAGATGACGTCATACACACTCCGCTTTGTTTTTAAAAGATATTAATAAAAAAAAAATCTAACGGTGGATGTCTGGGGGACAGTGATTGGCCTCCATGTTCTGAATGCTGGCGTACCATAAAGAATAAATGATGAACAGTTTAGTTTGTGCCTTCAAGTCGTTGCCCATAGGAAGACGTTACTGGATATAACCTAACGGAATATCTTCAGAACGGCTCCAAATGACACTAAACTCAGATGGGAGAGAAGAACATGATGGAATAACGGAAAATCAAGGAGCCAATGTAAAAAAACCTGAAATTCCCCTTTAAAAACATGACAGCATGGATAGTTTGTTTCCCTCTAAATTTCCTTGAAGCCTTTTTTTTTAAATAAACATTTAAATTTAAAAAATAAAAACGAAACTAGTTCTTAAAAAAAGTAGATTATAGGTTTATGGTGTTAAAACCCTAAATTAACCTTTTATAATTACAGAGATATTTGTTTATATATTTTAAATAGGCCTATTATAATTTATTTGTTCAGTTTTTTATTTTGCTTTTGTGTTAGAATCATAATTTACTCTTGAAAATTTCTGTCACTTTTTCAAAGACAAATTGACAGAAATAAACAAAATAGTTTTAGTTTATTCGATGTAAAAGAAAACAAAAACGCCAAAAAATAAAACAGTGCTATAGATAAATGAATAGATAATAAATAAATGAATAAATAGATAAATGAATAGATAAATAAATGAATGAATAGATCGATCGAAATGTGAAGCTGATTTTCTTCTGTAAAGCTCGCGTCTATATTTAGGCTTCAGTTTCTCGCCCCGTGGAGGCGGATCCATCCGCGGCAGAGTGTGGCTGTGGGACCAGGAGGAGGGCTTCACTTGGTCTCCTCCTGAGGAACAGAGCGGCCTTCATTTGGGCATCAGGCCGCCGCTGCTCGGCCTCTTCTCTGCGCACATCTGGATCCCCCACATCTGCAGGGCAGAGGTCTCTCCAGAGCTTCCTGCTGCGCTCCACTGGTTCCCCAGCTGATTTCAGGACAACAGGACCCGAACCTGACCCTTTATGGAAACTATTACACCTGCGTCGCGCGCAATAAGGCGCGAGGCGGCGATCAGCGCGCGCGGCGCCGCGGAGGGAAAGATGCTGATCGGGGATCAGCCGCGCTCCTCTGTGCGCAGCTCTGCTGGTGAGTTCAGCTCTGCTGGTGAG